GGGCTTATGGAGGTCAAGTTATCAATGAGGTTTTAGCTCAGGTACGCCTCACTGTGGGTCCAGTGGACCCCCAGACCCATCCTGTGGTTATTTCCGTAGTTCCAGAATGCATCATTGGAATAGACATACTTAGTAACTGGCAGAACCTCCATATTGGATCCCTGAAATGTGGAAGAAGGGCTCTAATGGTAGGAAAGGCCAAGTGGACACCATTAGAACTGCCATTGCCTAGGAAAATAGTAAACCAAAAGCAATACCGCATTCCTGGAGGGATTACAGATATCAGTGCCACCATCAAAGACTTGAAAGATGCAGGGGTGGTGATTCCTACCACATCCCCGTTTAACTCGCCTATCTGGCCTGTAAAGAAGACAGATGGATCCTGGAGAATGACAGTGGATTATTGTAAACTTAACCAAGTAGTGACTCTAATTGCAGCTGCCGTTCCAGATGTGATTTCATTGCTTGAGCAAATTAATACTTCTCCTGGTACTTGGTATGCAGCTATTGATTTGGCTAATGCCTTCTTCTCAATACCAGACTCGAAGGACCACCAGAAGCAGTTTGCCTTCACCTGGCAGGGGCAACAATATACTTTCACAACTCTCCCCCAGGGGTACATCAACTCTTCTGCCCTGTGCCATAATTTAGTCTGAAGGGATCTTGATCACCAATCTATCCACAAAATGTCACACTGGTCCATTATATTGATGACATTATGCTGATTAGACCCACTAAGGAGGATGTATCAAAGACTCTAGATTCATTGGTACAATATCTGTGTACAAGAGGTTGGGAAATTAACACAACGAATATTCAGGTACCCTCCACCTCAGTAAAATTTCTCGGAGTCCAGTGGTGTGGGGCATGTCGAGATATTCCTACTAAAATTTCGCGGAGTCCAGTGGTGTGGGGCATGTCGAGATATTCCTACTAAAGTGAAGGATAAGCTATTGTATTTGGCGCCCCCAATGACTATAAAAGAGGCTCAACGCCTAGTGGGCCTCTTCGGATTTTGGAGGCAACATATCCCTCACTTGGGTGTTCTACTTGGACCTATTTATCAAGTGACACAAAAAGCCTCCAATTTTGAGTGGGGCCCAGAACAAGAAAAGGCTCTGCAACAGGTTCAGGCTGCCGTGCAAGCTGCTTTGCCACTGGGACAATATGATCCAGCTGACCCGATGGTGCTATAAGTCAGTTGTAGATAAAGATGCAGTGTGGAGTCTTTGGCAGACCCCTATTGGTGAATCACAGCTTAGACCATTGGGATTTTGGAGTAAAGTCTTGCCATCCTCTGCAGACAACTACTCCCCCTTTGAAAAACAGCTGTTGGCCTGTTACTGGGCCTTGGTGGAGACTGAACGCCTCACCATGGGCCACCAAGTCACCATGAGGCCTGAACTACCTATCATGAACTGGGTATTGTCTGACCCACGGAATCATAAAGTTGGACGTGCGCAGCAACACTCCATTGTTAAATGGAAGTGGTATAAACGAGATTGAGCCGAAGCAGGACCTGAAGGGACAAGTAAGCTGCATGAAGTGGCCCAAATGCCCAGTCTCCACTCCTGTCACATTACCTTCTTTCTCCCAGTCTGCACCTATGGCCTCCTGGGGAGTTCCTTACCATACTTTAACTGAAGACCAAAAAAGTCATGCTTGGTTTACGGATGGCTCTGCACGATATGCGGGTGCCACTCGTAAGTGGACAGTAGCATCTCTACAGTCCCTTTCTGGGATTTCCCCTAAAGGACAGTGGTGAAGGGAAATCTTCCCAATGGGCAGAACTTCGAGCAGTGTACCTAGCCATTCAGTTTGCATATAAGGAAAATTGGCCAGATGTGAGACTGTATACTGATCCATGGGCTGTGGCTAATGGCTTGGCTGTATGGTCAGGGAATTGGAAGGAACATGATTGGAAAATTGGTGACAAGGAGGTGTGGGGAAAAGGTATGTGGATAGACCTCTGAATGGACCAAGAAAGTAAAGGTAATTGTGTCTCATGTGAACGCTCACCAAAGGATTACCTCTGAGGAGGAGGACTTTAATACTCAAGTGGATAAGATGACACGCGCTGTGGAGACTGGTCCTCCTCTTTCCTCTGCCACTCCTGTTATCGCCCAATGGGCACATGAACAAAGTGGACATGGTGGCAGGGATGGAGGTTATCCATGGGCACAGCAACATGGACTTCCACTCACCAAGGCTGACTTGGCCACTGCCACTGCTGAGTGCCCCATTTGCCAGGAGCAGGAACCAACATTAAGTCCAAGATATAGGGCCATTCCTCGGGGAAATCAACTAGCAACTTGGTGGCAGGTTGATTACATAGGACCATTTCCATCATGGAGGGGACAGCGTTTTGTTCTTACTGGAATAGACACCTATTCTGGCTAGGGATTTGCCTTCCCTGCACGCGATGCTTCTACCAAAACTACTATTCGTGGACTTACAGAATGCCTCATCCACCGGCATGGCATCCCACATAGCATTGCTTCAGATCAAGGAACTCACTTCACAGCAAATGCAGTGCGGCCATGGGCCCATTCCCATGGAATCCACTGGTCGTATCATGTTCCTCATCATCCTGAAGCTGCTGGCTTGATAGAACGATGGAATGGGCTCCTAAAGACACAATTACGGCGCCACCTAGGTGGCAACAACTTGCAGGGCTGGGGCAATGTTCTCCAGGAATCTGTATATGCTCTAAACCAGCGGCCAATATATGGTGCTGTGTCTCCAATAGCCAGAATTCATGGGTCCAGGAACCAAGGGGTGGAAGCTGCAGTAGCACCACTCACTTTTACTCCTAGTGATCCACTTGCAGCATTTTTGCTTCCTGTCCCAGCAACCTGTGTTCCTCAGGCCTGGAGGTCCTGATCCCAAAGGAAGGAACTCTTCCACCTAGAAACACAGCACGGATTCCACTGAACTGGCAGCTGAGAATGCCCCCTGACCACTTTGGGCTTCTCATGCCTTTGGAACCACAGGTCAGGAAGGGTGTCACTGTACTGAGTGGTGTGATTGATCCTGATTACCAAGGAGAAATTGGACTGGTGTTACATAATGAAGGTAAAGAAGAATATGTCTGGAATTCAGGGGAACCCATAGACTGACTCTTAGTGCTACCATGCCCTGTGATTAAAGTAAATGCAGCACAAGAAAACTGGTAACTTGCCAAGGCTCAGATAGAGGAGCCAGTACCTACCTTAGGACAGACTGAGTTCAGAGACCATACATACTTTTATTAAACATCATTCTTGTCCTTCTTGTAGGATATCATTCCACATAAGGTTTTATGAAAGTACTAGGACCTCTAAGAGAAGGGGGCAACAAGAATTGATAGTTCAAATATCATACAAAAGGCAGAGCATGTTCTTGATGGTTATGTCCAGAAATATGGTTGCATAGAATGGAAGAAGTTTTGTTTGAAGATAATAGTAGAAAATATGGCATGATAGAACCAGACTGTATATGGAATCTTAAATACCTTATAGATTTCTGACATGTTGTGGTAGGCATTTCAAATGTTTTAGGAAAACAAAATGACCCATTTATTAAAAATTAATAAAAGATAGAACTGCTCATACTTATCTAAAATGATGGACTAGATTATGACATGTGATCAAGTGATTCAGTACTTTTTTTAGCTCAGAAGATTAAAACTCCAAAGTCCCTGCCATTGAATTGACTCCCACTCATAGTGACCCAGTAGGTAGGCTAGAACTGCGTCTGTGGGCTTCCACAGCTGGAAGTCCGTACAGGGGTGGAAAGCCCCATCTCTCTCCCTGTAAGGAGCTGGTGACTTTGTGGTTAGCAGCCCAATTTCATAGCACGCTTCTCTCCACGAGGGCTCCTAATGACCCTGTAAGACGGGGTAAAACTGTCCCCATCGGTTCCCAAGGCTGTAAATCTCCACAGGATGCAAAACTTTGTTTCTCCCGTGACACAGCTCCCATGGTAGCTCACTATGCCAGCAGGGCTGCTTAGCTCAGAAGGCAAACGGATGTTAATGACAGGCTTCAAATCTTTCTATATAAATATTAGTACTGAAAATTCTTTTGTGGGGGGGATATAATATTTAGCCATCTCAATTTTAAAATATCTTTAGACCTACAAGATAATGTGTTGTTTTGGATGATGATACTAATGATAGGTGCTGTCTAGTCAGCTCCTGACTCATAGAAACCCTGTGTACAATGGAACAAAACATTTCACCACCCTGAAGCATCCTCACAAGAGTTCTTGTGTTTCAGCCCATTATTGTAAACACCGTGTCAGTCCATCTCTGAGGGTCTTTCTCTTTTTCACTGCCACTGCCCTTTACCAAGCATGATGTCCTCCAGAGACTGGACCCTCTTGGTAGCATGTCCAAATAAGGCACATTCTGGCTATACTGCTAAGAATATTGATGGCTTTTTAAACATGGCTGTAGTAACATGTTTATTGAGCTACAGCTCATGCATCATAAAATTTATTCTTTTCAAGTATACAATTTAGTGTTTTTTCATGTCTTTGCAGTTATACAATCATCACTGCAGTTTGTGTAGTATCAGAACATTTTCATAACCTCCTCCCCAAAATAGCCTAGAGCATTACTGGTATTAAGTTAGAGAATTCCATTCTTATCTGAAAATGAGGACGTAGCATTCTTGATTCACATGAGTAATAGCTGACTTGTAACCACACTTGACCAGTTTTCTAAATTAGATCAATATTTCATACAAAGACTAAATTCAGACCATATTGCCCAAGTTAATTTTCACTTTTAACTGTTGCAATCCCCACACATTTGATTTATAGATTTAAGTAATTCCTTATGTCATAAACTAAATGTAGCTCAGCAGATACTTTGACGCGAGGTTATTTTCAATATCAGCACAATCTTTTAAGTATTAGACAGACTATTAAATTTTATCTGTTTAACTACTAAGAAAATAGTGCCAAGAGATAACTAGGGTTTTCTCCGAAACTAATCATTTTCTTTTTCATTTAAGATGCCAGTGACAGTGGACGTTCTTATAAAACAGTCCTGGACCGTTGGAGAGAGTCTCTCCTTTCTTCTGCTAGTCTCTCCCAAGTCTTTCTTCACCTCTCCACCTTGGATCGTAGTGTCATATGGTCTAAATCTATACTGAACGCTCGCTGCAAGATATGCCGGAAAAAGGGTGACGCAGAAAGCATGGTGCTGTGTGATGGCTGTGACCGGGGTCATCATATATACTGCGTTCGACCAAAGCTCAAGGTGCTGTTTTCTTCTAATACTCAGATTAAAATGGAGACATTGCATTTCCAAGTGTTAGGTGATTGATGATGGCTTGTGTAATCTGACAGGCGGTTCCTGAAGGAGACTGGTTTTGTCCAGAATGCCGGCCAAAGCAGCGTTCTAGGCGACTCTCCTCTAGACAGAGACCATCCTTGGAAAGTGACGAAGAAATGGAAGACCATCTGGAAGATGAGGATGATGAGGTTGATGATGATGATGATGAGAGTCAAAGTGAGGAAGAAGACTATGGGGAAGAAGATGAAGATGACTATCAAGAAGAGGAAGACGTGAGGTATGTCTGAATATGCAATAAAATTAGACACTAAGGCTTAACTAGACAATCTCTTAGTACCAATGGGACAGTTAGAATCCATAATGAAATAGAATATTGCCAAGGGGGTCTCGAGCCTATGGGTAAGCTTAGCCATGTAACAAAATCTAGTATGAGTTTGTGTTTGGACAGAAATGCCAACTTAGACCAATAACAAAGCTTATTTTAGTCCTAAAGCAGCAGATAAACAGTATAGAACAGTCACGAGATAAAGAAGAGTTCAACTCCCCAGTGCCTCCTTTCCTTTATTAAAGAGGTGATATTGGCCACTACAGTGAGTCTATGAGGCAGAATGTAGCACACTGTATGCTCATCTTCCACATCCGCATCCAGAAACAACCTCCGCACCATCTCATAACCAAGTATTTGGCAACATAAAAGTTATGTTACCCAGGCCTTTGAATGGGTTTGAATCCGCCTGAGCATTTCTGCTGTGGCCACATTAGTCTCTCTCTCTCTCTTTGTGCCTTTATTTCAGTGATGAGACTTTTTCTTTTCTTTTTTTAAAATCATTTTATTGGGGGCTCATACAACTCTTATCACAATCCATACATCGAACCATTGTGTCAAGCACATTTGTACATTTATTGCCATCATCATTCTCAAAACATTTGCTCTCTACTTGAACCCTTGGTATCAGCTTCTCATTTTTTTCCCTCCCTCCCTGCTCCCCCCTCCCTCATGAACCCTTGATAATTTATAAATTATTATTTTGTCATATCTTACACTGTCCGACATCTCCCTTAACCCACTTTTCTGTTGTCCATCCCCAAGGGAGGTCACATGTAGATCCTTGTAATCGGTTCCCTCCTTCCTACCTAC